GAAAGATTTGCATTCAGTTCCATCTGGTATACGACTAGCAGCATTTCAGAAAGAGAACATCACTTGGATGTTCTTGGGTGGCTTTGCTTCTTCAGGATCTGGACGACTTGCCTAACTGAAGGAACGATGAATTCTCCATACTAAGAAAAATCCAGCCAAAAGTTTATTATCTTAAGCATAAACACTCTTTGGTCATGCAGCAGGGCCATCTGGACGTGAATCCAGCACGGATGCTGTAGCATGACCTTAAAAAATAGGCAAAAAAGAGTGGGCCAAAGACTTATTATTGGTAGCCATAGCAACTGCATGATGGTTGTTGTTGCCGTTGAAACAACCAGGTAATAGTTTCAGTAGGAACCACTTTGGCTTGGATTGACAGTCTTCATACATGCCTGTGCAGTTTAGAAAACGAGTAGTTGGATGGTAAAACTTGTTTTGCTTGTGTGTTGAAATAATATCTCACACTGCATCAATACATGCTGAATCAATGTAATGTCCCAAAAATAAAAGTCTTGTTCCTGTCCACAAGACATTTTAAAGTCACGTCTTTGACCGTCCTGGCATCCATTAGCGTGTTGTTTTTCCTCTCTGCAGTCCCCACAGCTATAATCCCTTTTATTGAAATCCGTGTCACCTGCCACCTGCGCAGTCCAACACCCTAAAGCATTAGACGGCTGGCATAGTGATGGCCACTGCAGTAAGAGGAGACCGCGGAGACCTTCTTCTGCGTTTATTGACGGCCTTTTTTTTATCGATTTATATGAATGTTCTTTATGATGAAACTCTACCAGAAGGCCACAACATACACAAAATTTGAGATTTTTCTTTATATACTGCCCAGCTCAAGCAAATCAAGAAATCTCCCCACGTGTGTATTAGCATTTCATCCTCCAGCAACACCAGAGAGAGCCTTGTGTTTTAGGGAAACATGGAGACAGAGAGGGGACTCAAACCACGAGGGAAGAGGAAAAAGAAGACAGAGTGCACAAGAGAAAGGAAAGCCAGAGGGAGCAAGGAAGAAGGGAAGATGGAGCGAGAAGAACGTGAGGCAATTTTGCAAACCTGTGACACATTAATTATTAACAAACTCAGGGCTACATGCGTAAACTCTCCCCTCCTTGTTCATTCCCTCTCATCCTTCCTTCACGCTCGCCTCCTGCGGAAAATGGTCGCACCCGAGATGCCGATGGATACATGTCCTCACAGCGTTCGTGGAGGCAGCGTGTGACGCCCATAACATGAAGCATGTCAAAGGGTTGGAGGAAGGTGTGAGGCAAGAGAGTCCACAGAGTGGGAGGACAAGAGGGGAAAAAAGAGGCAGTGAGGATTACAGGAAGCGGAGAAAGGTCTGGACCGGGCATGCAGCTGCAATATAAAGTAGAGGTAAAAGACAAAGAAAAGCTCCAAAGAAAGGGAAGGACATAAAATAAGAGATAAGGTCAGTGGGAGAGAGTCTGGTAGACTGCGAAATTTAAACAAAAGCGAAACAACCAAGAGTTTAGTTGCATTCTCGGAGAAAACAAGCAGGAAACAGAATTCAACCAAACGCCTGTGAAAACTTGCTGAACTCAATCCCGCAAGGAAAATCTCACATGCATATCTTTGTTTGCTGCTAATCATTAATTTGTGGTCAGCCCGTTTGACTTTCAGCGTTGTCTAATCAATGGTCTGGGGTGTTGCAGTAGGACAGCACAAACACACCTCTGTGTGTGTGCACACCCGTTCTTGTCTGCATGCAAGTGTGTTGAAATGGTGCTGCTTGAACGGTCACTCTGCCCCTCAGGCAGTGATGTGTGTTTGGAAAGCAATGGATCCTCCCCCAGGAACGGAGGGAGGAGATGCGTGTGAATGTCGCTACACTACTTTGGCAGCTTTTTTTTTTTTTTTTTTTTGCTACTCTTTCTCGTGGCTTTTGGGCGTCCGTGAGGGAACCAAAGCAGATACAGAATTTACAAAAACAAACGCCAGACAGACAACTGAAATGACCCCAGACACCCAGCCAAAGAAGGACTCAAAAAGTTATAATTATTAATAATAATAATATTCAACAGTTCTAAGATTTTTTTTAACAAGTACAAGCTCAAAAAATTATAACTTTATCATTCTTTGACATATGTAAAACAACAGGATGTGGATTTTCTATTTTTGTGTATACATACAAGAAAAACCACAATCTTATCCATTTTTAGCATGCCTATCCTCAAAATTTCCAAGCTTGAAGTTGGAAAAATAAACTGATACCTAGAAGTCAGCTTTTTAAGGGTAAGAATTGCAGGTTTCTAACCAACCTTAACCTGAGAATCCAACATGGCTGCCTTTCATATAAAACTGTCAAAGAGTTCGAAAAGGATAACGTGACGTTCTGTGAGGTTATTATTGAGTAAACAAATCTTAGAGTTTAGAAAGTAAAATGATTTATGAACCTTTGATAAATCAATTGGTCATGAATACTCCAGTATTATGTAGAAACACAGGAACAAATCTTCTTTGATGCTGCTGTGTGACGCATGATTTCCACACATGGAAATGTCAGCAACTTAAGTAATTACCACAATAAAAAAAGTTTATTTGCGCTCATTATTTCTATTTGTTCAAATTTCCAAAGCACAGCAACAAATATTGTGCTGCAGTGTTTGAAGTACAGCATGCTGATAAACACAGATAAATATTAGCTTGTAAAGCATGTAGTCTGATTATTGAACATATTAGTTAGTAAAGGTCACTGGTTTTCAAGGAGAGAGTTAGGTTTTAAATCATTCCCAGCTACAGTCTCTAGCTTCAGGGGTTTTGGACCAGCATAAGTTGCCGCCAGTATTCGTCCATGACTCGCCGTTTTCCACTTCATCTCGGCTAATTTGTTTGCATTTATCTTGCCCAACTCCAAAGTTTCTTTTGTGTTCGGCTAATGGCACCCCAAGAACAACCGTGGTATTTGTACCACAGTTTGACAACCATGGCTAGAGTGTATTTATGAGCTAGTGGGGAGGCAAAATGCAACTTTGTGATGACAGTTAAGCCCATAAACATGTTTTTGAAAGTCATTTTTTTGCAATTTCACCAAACTCGTTTATATATATATATATATATATATATATATATATATATATATATATATATATATATATATATATATAAAATGAGCCAAATCCGTGCTGTTGAACTAGCAATATCATAGTTTTATTCCATGTGATCTTCTGCCTTATCAGACTGGAGGCTTACATTTCCCACAACATCAACATGAACATGAGGGGCTCAGTTCTAATACTGTAGGTTTAGGTGAGCCGCCTCGAGCCTTAAGCCTCAAGCAGAGAAGAGCAAGCCGAGAGTCCGGGTAAGCTTGAGTCTTTCCAACGCCTCTCCACGGGATTTTTTTTGCCAACATTACTTTTATCCAAATTGTAATAACTCAAGTGAACCAGGTTATAATAATTTTTACTGCAACTTCTGAAGCAGTAAAAACTTTTTTAAGGTGTGCAGTATCTCCCCTTAGGCCTATCAACATACTTTGATGTACTGCTATTAGCACTACTTGCTAATATTTATGTGCGATGGAGCACTAACATTTTGCATCATCCTGAACTATTTCCACACTGCTGTAAAGATGCTTTCTTCAGACTGAACAGAGAAGCAGATAGGAAGATGGACAGAACAAAATCAGGGTACACCTGCATTTTTCAGCTTGTTAGAGGAAGGGAAATAATGGAGGCGTACAATAAGTGCTAAGATAGCTTAGATCCATTTAATTCAAATCAGTTAATATACTTTAACAAGTGTCAACCCCTGTCATAACAGAAAGTAATTGATGCCATCTTATTATGCAAGTAGGTAAAAAAAGAAATCTATTTTAGGAAACTCAACCCACTGCATTGAGTCACTTGCATCTCCTGAACGAACATGTGGCACCATTGAACAGTTCTCTGCAAGAATCCATACGGCGACAGTGGAGAGGAAACTCTTTTTCAAATGGAAAAAAACTCCAACAGAACCCAGTGGAGCAGTCATCTGCTGCTGAGTCTGTTTGAGAAGACAAAGACAACTCATGAAAGACACATAAGCACTGGTTAAGAACGTCTTTCTGTGTTTAAGACAAAATTAGGAGTGAATTGTAGCAGCAGATTTTTTTTTACTGGTTTGAACAAGGACAAACTCTGAGCCTGAAGTAAAATCCTTGGAAAGAAAAACAATATGTATATGAAGTCAGTGGCAGCAACAGTTTTGTCAGTGGCTTTTTTCAAAAGAGAAAAAGGATTAATCACATGAAAATTTCAAATTAAAATTTAAGTTCTTTCCCCTGACAGCAATTGGTGTACATTTCTTCCAGTGTACGAAGATCTATGTTTGTGGTCTTCTGCACGGATTTTATGACTATATGCAGAGCTGTTGCCATAACACACCAGTATCCTATGAACGCGTCCAAAGAGGATCAGTGAACAGACACCAGCAGCTGTTGGGAATGTTTCAGTTTATGAGGCAATCTCAGTTGATATGTAATCTTCGTTGGGCCTTCTTGACCAGAGATTTGAGATATTTGTGTGAATTTGGTGGGAGTTCCCAAGTGGATGGAAAAAGCTACCATGAAGTATTCCAGTGCATGTCCTACCAGGCAGATAATGAGTACTGGTCCTAATGCAACTAATCCATGGCCCTACATATTGAGACTGTTAGTTTCAGACTGATTTGTGGCTTGATTTAGGTTGCAATAGCGTGTGACGGTTTACTAGTTGTTTTTTTTCCTTTCTTTTTTAAATGGGATGCCAGCCATGTATCCCTCCTGACAACTAGCATTTGTAAAGTTATTTTACTTTTGTATTTATTTTATAACCAGTCACACATGGACCATACACTTCAATGCTGTTGACCCTTTAGTACAATTAAAGACAAAAAGTATTTCTTAAAAAAAGGTCTTCTCAGGGCAGGCATAGGTTCCTATACAAAATTTAAAATTTAAAATTTTATTTACAATTATGAACATCACACACACAAATAATAAATATACTTACTGGTCACATGACAGTCCCACAAGAAGCAGAACCAGGAATCCTTTCTTTATATCAGCACTGGACAAATGTAACAATTTAATATCATTATTGAGCATAAATGATTAGTTTTTAGTCATTTAATTTTTAATTCTAGGACTTCCGAGTAACTTTTAAACCTTTGACGTCACAAACTTCCCATTACTTCCGGCTTCCCTCGTCAGAAAGGCTGGCTCACCAGTCGACGTATTTTTACTTTTTTTTTTTATTGTAGCCACTCGGCATAACAGAGATGCGATTAGGAACAGGTGAGGTGAGGGATTACACGGCCTCGGATTTAATTTTAATAGTTCCAGCAAGGGACGGCAACGCCGGTGAACTGGGGGCGGCGATTGTTGCTATAAAACCGCCTGGAGGGAAACGGCCATCTTTACAAACTAGAAATTAACCAGTTTGAACAGCGGACCAATCAGGTGAGTTCAGGGGAAGACTGGGCGTGGCCAGGGGCGTGTCTGAAAGTGTGACAGGACGGAGGGGGCCGAGGGAGAGAGGAAAACATTGTAAGCAGCTTTATGCATCAAGGGTTGTCGTAAGCTTTCAGTGAAAAGGATGGATTAAGGGCATTTGTTGTTAAATATTAGCTTCAAATTAATATTCATCCATCTTATAACCCACTTGTCCTTGCAGGGACACAGGAGGTATCCTGACAGAACCCGCCGTATGCACAGGGAGAACATGCAAATTCGATGCAGAAATACTCCAAACAGGACATTCTTGCTAAAATGTAGTAGTGATACCAATTCTGCCAGGTAACCTTATTAAAATAACATTTGAAATTAACAAATAATATTGTTCTCTTCATTGAAAATGAAAGATTTCACAATTTTACATTTGCTAAGTTGGAATCACCGGCTACACGCCACTGTCCTTGCTTTCTGTTTTTTTTATTTTTTTTATTAACAGATTTTACTGTAGTGATGTTAGCATCTACAAGAGACATTATTTATTGCAGTAATTTCTGAAAATATTTTATGGGTTGCTGCTTGGTTCACCTTGTTGCACTATTGGCAGCTTAACAGACAATATGCTGATGTACTAACAAAAAAAAAGATACATCATCGAATGCACTCTGCAACAGATCACAGTGACTTCACAATGTGCGCGTTTACGCAACAATGCTACTCTAATTTGTGCAGCAGGGTGTGGAACATTTAAGTAATTCTGTGGAAAGACAAAATGCTTTGCTTCCTTTTGTGATGAACAATGAAACCCATTCTGTCACACTGGATCAATGCTGGCATCACGCTGAGAAATGGACATTTTCAGTCTTAGTTGTGCACACACATCTTCTCCTTGTTTCTCTCATTTTCTGCTGTCTGATATTTGAAATCTAAACTCTTCCCATGCACAGACATACCAATTGAATATGCTGAATTTGAAGTTAGATTTGAATTATTGTAATACCATTAATTTATTCGCAAAAAGAAAATATAGCCTGAATTTACCTTTTCTTCATGTAATGAATAGAGAAGAGCAATGAGGAAGAGCCTTGAGTTATTAGCTGTGCTCCGTTCAACAGCACCGCACCAAGTAATTTTTGTCAATGGTTGCAGTTATGCCATGTTGACTTTTCTGCATCACAGGTTTGGCTGGAAGCCATCTTGGTAAGGCCCTTTGCATGACCTCGGAGCTTCTCATTACACCTAAAAGGGTGCAGAGATGTAGTTTAAGGGGTTGGTTGAAAAACACCAGCAAACAGGTGATTAAATCAATCAATCAAACTTTATTTCTATAGCACACCCACCAACAACACCTTGCATTGACCAAATGCTTTAGAAAATAAAACAAATAAATACAGTACTTTACACATTAAAACTGAAACAGTGCCAAGTAAAAAGCTAGAAAATACAACCACATTAAAATAAAACATAAAAGTACTAAAAGTCAAAAGCCTTTTCAAATAAATGACTTTAAGTTTGGCTTTGGTCAAAATCAGATCATAGACGGGAAGACATTTCCAGGATGTTGGGCCAGCCGCAGAAACAGACCAGTCCCTTCATTGCTCACCCACAGACCGAGGCACCTCCAGCAGATATTGACCGGCAGACCGTAAAGTTCTGCTGGGCTGGTGGGTTTTCAAAAGTTCAGATATATAGGGTGATGCAAGGCCATTCAGTGCTTTAGAAACAAACAGCAGTGGTTTAAACTGTATCCTTAGCTGAACCGGTTTAAACTGTATCCTTAGCTGAACCGGTTTAAACTGTATCCTTAGCTGAACCGAGAGCCAGTGCAGATATAAAAGGACAGCAGTGATTATGTTGATGTGAGTTTGTCAATAAGCGAGCAGTGGAGTTTTCCTCAAGGTGTATGCAGGAGATGGAAGACTGATTGATACAGACTCATAAAGCATTACAATAATCAAGCGTACAGGTCGTTGTGGCTAAGGAATGGCTTTCTTTAGACTGAAAAAAGCTTGTTTGCAGAATCAACCTGTTTGTCAAGTTTTAAGCTACTGTCAAGTTTTGCCCCTAGATTTTTTTCCCAACCTGCTTGAAGACCTAGATGGGGTGAAACATTACATGACTTACCACTGAACAACATCCATTCGGTTTAGGTGAAAAAAAATATTTGAGAGAGCCATTCCTAATATCCTTTAGGCAGCTGTGAATAGAGCTCATAGAGTGGAGAAATTTGAGTGACTGGCAGATAACGGCTGCGTGTAAAGCGAGAAGATCACAGGCCCCAGAATGGATCCCTGCGGCAAACCAAAGGTCACGAACAGGGTTAGATTTCCTCTTTATTGCAAATTAATATGAAGAGCATTGTACAAAATCATTTTTAATCATCTTTTGTTAGATCTGCAAGTCATTTGTTAACATGATCATTCATATTTGGCCATCCAGTCGTACTGATCAATGTGATCAGTGTTTGCATTCATTTCTGTTTTCCTTTAAAATTGTGTTGAAATAGATCATTTCTACACCTCCTCCAAGCTAATATTGCAAGCATGTAAAAATCTGCAAATCCTCCACAATAGAACATGATTTAAACTTGTATTTATTTTGGCTTTACACACACATAGTTTTCCTTTTTGATTCAGTATATTCCATTTACAGTTGGACGCATGAAAAGTGATAACAGTCCAATCTTGTTAGTGTAGAAGTCATGTGCAGCCATATTTCCACTCTCTCTGTGTTCCCACTCATATCACTGAAGCAAGTTTAAACAAAGCTGAATGGTACAACTGAATTAATAATCTAGAAATAAACTGCCACTAAAATTTACAAAACAGAAAAAAAAGTTTATTTTCCTGACGGGTACACCTTGTGTTTATTTTGTGGACTTTGTTAAAACAATATTCTTCTTTGCATAATTTCAACAGAATTAAGAGACTGAAATTACCATGGCATTCATAATACAAGTTAAATAAACTGCAGAAATTGGTTTTGATTACTTTGAGACGCTAGCATATTTAACAAAGATAATGTTAAGAAATCAATAGGAAACGTGTGGTGAACTGATAGGAACAGACATCCACACAAAAACACACATGCACAGACATTTTAGGTGCGATCCTCTAGCTGCTATTTGGGGGAAGGTGTAGAATTGTGGGTAGGAACAACAGGACAAATTCAGTTTGAAATGTTAGCAATCCAACACCTCATGAGAGTGTTGCTGATTTAAAGGAACAACTGTAACAAAAAGAAAGCCATGCACAGAAACAAAAAAGCACGAGTTCCAAAACTAATGCATCTGGGTCTCCAGTAGGTTTAAACATCAATCAGTTTACCACCGTTTGGTCCAGGATTTGGGATAAAATTAAGATAAAAGCACAAAAATTCTAATCAGATTTTAAACTTTTCATGTCAGATCCAACACAGAAGCTCATCTGATATAAATGTGCTTGAGTTTAACTATGTATTCAGAAAGTGGAACTGAACGTCGCAGTCTGCTATCGGCAAGAAAGTGAATGGGCTTACTCCGAAATTGAACTGTACATTCATATCTTTGCACACACACAACATCCATGGTTTCTCCAACAATGTTCAGGGTAACAAAAACTTTGCTTCCTTAGTCCGTCACACACAGATGACTTTAGTAGACACATTGTGCTTGGACACTGTCACTATTCCTCTCTGCAGGCTCTGCCTCCGCATTGCTGGTCCCAGTGGACAAGATCTCTGAGGACATCTCATTCTGTCAGCTGCTGTGTCGGAAGAAGAGGGGGAAGAAGGAAGCACAGTTTGAAGTAGCCTCTGGATTTGAGCATCGCTGCTGTGGCTGTTGCTTATCTGTGCAAATCCAAGACATATTGTTGCAGTTTTAGTGTTTTGTATTTGTGCAAAACAGTGTGTCTACCTCGACCACACATCAGTGACTGCAGCAGCAGCCAACCCAGCTGCAGTGAACATGTGGACGGGTAAGAACGGTCTTTCTGGGCCTGATAGCCCATCTCACCATGGCAACACTTCCCCACTGTGCGTCCCTGCTGCTGCATTAGTTTTCTGCACACTGCGTGCAAAGCAGGTCTGCAGCATCCCTTACACTTACTAAAGGGTGCACGCACAGCAACAAGCCCATCTTACCAAACTGATAAAGACTTATGATACAGTGACTCTAGTGTTAATGTGCTCTGAAATTAGAAAACAAATTTGGAGTCAAGTATGATACAGAGATAGTTATTATCTTAATAAGTTCATAAAATAAGTCTTTTATGGGATTTAATTTTTTACATTTGTGTTATTAAAGTTAAAAAAAATACAAAAGTCGGGTGTTAGCACACATGTCTGGCCCATAATCAGTCTGAAAGTGGTGCTATTGTTAAAATACTGTTATCTAGTCAGATATTAATAATATACATCACCTTACAAAAGCACAGGAAGAGCATGACATTTTTTCATCCATTCATTGTTGTAATTTTAATTTGATCCCACTATAAATAAAGTTTTTCTATTACAATGGTGGGGATCTGGAACAGAGTAGACAAGTTAGGGATGGAAGAGAAAAAAAAGTGCAGGGTTCAAATCCCAGGCTTTAAATATATCATGAAATGCTTCTCATTCAATAAAAGAAGGTGCAGC